GAAAGCAAAAAGGGGGAAAAGAGCAGAAAATATGTGAACGAGCCCTTCAGGCTGTGCTGAAACCCAAATGTGCCAGACGATGTAGAAATGTGACTTGTTTGAGTACAAGCTCGAAAAGATGGATGGCAGATTTAGCAAGGAATGGCTCTTTCTTCACAAAATGCAGATTTGGGGTTAAAAATCTAAATCACATGTCCGAAGTCACAAGTCCCCATGTGATACTAGTCTGTGGAAGCATGGCCGTGTCAGCCGTCAGTGCACCACGGACTCACACTTTCTGTACAAAAGCATTGTTTAATACAATATATATAATGAGGACGCTAAAAAAGACATCTATTTAGAATTTCTACATAGTGAAAATGATTTTAAATAGTTCTTGGTGTGGATTTTTGTTATGTTTTTAACACAACTGATGGATTTTTTACCTTTTAAAAACCTTTTAAAAACACATTTGTAAAAAAGAAGTTGTTGTTTATGTATGGCTTTAAGCAGAGTTATTTACAGGGAATCAAATGTTTGTGTAAAGCCCTTGATGTTCATATTGATCGCAGCATTAGAGACACCTTCCCTTTGATAAACAGAGGAGCACCAGGCTCTCTGGGGCCTGCCGGAGAGACATCTGGGCTGGTGAGCAAACAGCTTACTGGAAGTGGGCTTCTTATGATTCAGTGCTGCATTAAGGGTTGTGCTAACCCCTCTTTATTTACCTCAACAGGACCATGTGTTTAGATTCTTTGTCTGAGGAATGTGCGCTAACAACAGCCTTGCACGAAACAGAAAGCCAGTTCATTGACCCATCATGAGTATTTGTACTTCTGCTTTATAATCCAAATGCCCTCTAGGTGTGTCAGTTACTGCGTCATGCATCTTTTATTGGACGATGAAGTCACACTGACGAGACGACGGTGTGGACAAAGTGTTACCTCATAGAAGAGTCCCTCTGGGAACTGCTGGAAACACTGGGCGCACACAAAGCACTGCTCGTGGTAGAGTTCCCCGTTACTGTTCACTATCTTCTCGGCCGGGGCGAAGCCACTCTTGCAGCGCTCGCACATGGCATTGGCCAGAGCATTGGCCATGTTGCTGGAAGGAAGAGAAGAATCAGGATCAGAGTACACTGACGCCGTCAAAACACACGTTAAAAATAATTCGTAGTAGTTTACTGTAAAATAAATCACACTGCAACCAATGCAACAAAGAATATCAGATTTACTGTATAAAGGTTTAAAGGGAGAATTATAGTTTACTGCTGATCTATTATATATTCACTGTATTAGTATAACACTATATTTGACTGTTTTTGTTTGGTTATTGGTACTGGTGAGAAGTTTCAAACTAAATTGTCTCAAACAGACGAGTGTGATAAGTGTTTTATGATTTGAATGTTTGTTAATAAGACGGTTTCTGCTATATCTAATGTTTTATGTCTGAAGTACAGTATATATCTTGATATCTTAATTTAAAACAGTAAGTGTAGTGTATTCTTCATACGTTGGCATACATTTGTTTCTGTAAGTATTATTTCTTTAGTCATGCCAACGACGTAGAGACAGACACATAATGGAAACTACCAGGATCATGTCAGGACCGATATTATAACATCTATCAAATGTTTCTCCTGTCATGAAAACTGCTGGAAGTTGTTCTCAGTAAAAGGACAAAGTAGAGAAGTGAGGGGAAAATGTGACGTAAGAGGTAATCAGCCCATGCAAACACACACACACACACAATATCTTGATTCTAGGTTTATTTTGGCGCTGCTTATCAGGGTGCGGGAATCAACGAGGCTGGAAACCTGCGCGTTGTCTTATGAGAGACAAGCTGTTTCATCTGCGCTGTTCAAACAGAGTATCTGAGGAACAAACCTAGTGAGACCGAGAGTTAGTACGACATATCAATCCTGCCCTTTTATTGAACAATCAGAATTGTTTTATGGCCGTTCTGCAAAACATCAGTGTAATACATCAACAGGGCAGGGCCCCGGGCTAATCATTTTTTCCACTGAAGGTACTGGTGCCAGAACCTGCAGCACAAATGTGGTCACACCCAAAAAACTGCCACCGGCTTTACAACAGGGTATTTATTCATGTTCATGTGTTTTTATCATTTGTCACAGCACAAAGAAGTTTAAAAAAAAACCTTAGTTAGAGGTTAGTATGAGAACAAATCTGACTGACACTATACAGATTCAAATACAGAAACAAGAACCCTTCATACAGCTGACTTTTTCCTCTATATGCCTCCAAATAAGGACCAGAAAACAAAATGATCACACTGTTTCGAACCCACACAATAAAAACACTGATAACACCTGACACCAGCTGTGAAGTGAAGAGGGAACAAGTTGCAGGCAGAAAGAGAAAAGGAAAAAGGAAGAGAGAACGGTGGGACCATCCTGACTCGTCTGTTTTGTTTGAAAGGTCAGAATACCAAAGTGTATCCAGGCAACACACACTCACACACACACACACACACACACAATGTAAGATTTTTATGCAGTGATGCCATCTGTTCATATTAACTTAGTTAGATCAATTTGGGACTCACTGCTCAACACTTCAGTCTTGTCATTTTAACAATGCACATCTCAGCTCTACCGAAAAAACAAAAAGGAAAAAGAAAAAGTAGCTGGTATATTTTTTATACTACATTGAATCAAGGTGCAGGAACACAGACAGCTTCCATCTGTCCACTCCTCTCAGACAAATACATATTGTTTTATATACCTTGTCTGGCCTGGTATCACACACACTGACAGCCCTGCCCTGTCCAAAGGATTTGTGGGAGGAAGTGATACATCCCTTAGGCATTTCCTCCTATCTGCCTCCAGCACCAAGCCTATACGCAGTCTGAGGGCTACAACAAGATAGGTTGTCTTTATTTAAAAATGCATGGGCCATATTCTCACAGTCCATATTGTAACTGTAACACCCACTACTTAGAGAGGACTCAGGCAGAAGACCAGTCAGTCTCAGGGAGTCGTTAGTGCTGCACAGAGGACATAATCCCTCACCAGCGTCCCACCGGTTGTCAAGTGCCAACTACTATCCCTGTGCTAACTTTATAGTCTTCAGCTGACTTCCAGCGAGTAACAATGGGCCAAACTGGAATATAATATTCAGATGTAATCACCTGAAAATAAGAATCATTATGTTTTTGTTCCTTTAAAATGAGTAGTTTTTATCTACAGATGGAGTTGGTCCTCTTCTATGGAGTCTATGTTCTTTTGAGTTTTGCAACCACCGTAGTTTCTCCTATATGGTTGGAAGGTGAGTGGTACTCAGTTGGTTGCAGCACTCGCTGCCACTAAACCATTTAACAGCCCTTTAAACTAAAACATAAGTACAATTTAAACATAATATACTTAAATCTATTTGTTAGATTCAGCATCAGTTTTCGGTAAATGTTTGAGGCAGAAAAAGGCATCGTAACCAGACAGATGAAAGTATCCACACATGACTCTCCTCCCCCCCGTTGAGCCCACCATGCTGACCCGTGACTATAAATGGAGTCTGGTTGTCAGCGAAGGGAAAGGATGCAGACTATCACTTCTGTTATGAATACCTTCTGTTGCCTCCACCCTCCCTCTCCTGGCCTCCACTTGTCTTCAGTTTCTTTTCTTTAGCATCTCCTCTACTTCTCCCTCAGTGGTATGTTCACATCTGCAGACACTACAGTAGGACAATATAATGGAGAGATGAGCTCTAGATACTGCTGACGGCTGTCTGAAGATTCAAAGGTCGATGGTGTTCTTGTTACTGCACTGCTTTATTCTGACCAGTAACTTTAGAGAAATTACAGGCTCCATCATTGGATATTTGTGTTTTCTCAACCCCAGTTTGTGTACAGCATTCAATTCATACTGATGGACACTGACAAGGTTTCATATCTCAACATAACTGACCAAAGATGTTACTAAAGTGTGTCTGTGGAGTCTTGAAGATAACAGAGCTTCACTGTCTCCAAGACTGACCGGACTCACTGCTGCTTGTCAGCTCTTATAACTTCACCCAAAATGTAGTTTTCATTGTCTTCAACACAAGAAAGAAAAGCTCCCTTCACAAACCTGGGGGTGACCCTACGTCCATGTTTCCCTACAGCCCACAAAGATGCCAGATCAGTCAGAACTACGCTGTGTATATTTAGCCTTCCTGTCCCTCATACTTTGAATGCCAGTTGACATATTCTACTTTGCATAACAACTCCCCCCTTTGGCACAGAAATAGCCCTTCTTGTGTGCTCCCTCCTGTAGCTCCCCCTGCACAAACATGGCACCTAAAGGCAGCTTAAGCAAATCAAACTGGGCTGCTAAATCCAGCTCCTCCAATATCTGAATTCTTCACATTCTGTAACACTACAGTAAGCTCAGAGCACACAGACTCGTACCATGTCGGCGTAGGAGCAGACTGAATTCCTTAACTCACACGTCCACTACTACTCACCGCATTTTCTCCCTGTCAGTTTAATTGGCATGTTAGTTATTCATCCGACATCTGGACTCCTCCCAGTCTATGCTCTGTTGGTGGCTTTTGGTGGCTCAGCAGATAAGGTAGGTTTCACGGAAGGTTTTACAAGCTGCTGACTAAAATCTGGTGAAAAATCTCACACATATAAGTAATAATAATGAAACATATTCACTAGGTATTCCTGTAATTAGATTTGTTTTCTTTTACATTTAAGCTTCTTCACCTCGGCGACAACTAACTACAGTGCGTTCACTCCTTTCTTTTAAAGTGTGTACTTACAAGCGAGCATAGAAATCACAAAACTCCTTATAGACTTTGACATCGCTCTTTCGTCTCTGGGATTTGGACACTGGGACCTCCGCCTCTCCCCCGTCACCACCCTGAAGCCTCTGGTGGTAACCGTTAACCCCCCCGTGAGGAACGTGGTCCGGGGCTTCTGCATCCTCAGGTATTGACGGAGGCAGGACGCGACCGTTCATCTCCATACTCATCTACAGCTGTCCAAATGAACTTAAAAAAATAAAGTCCATCTAACAGCTGCTGTCAAAAAATCTAAACCCTCAAATCCTCAGTGTTTGTTCAATGTATGTTTCCAATCCAGTAAACAGTGGGA